GGAGCAGCACCGGTTAGAGGAGGTTTGGGCCGGGGGCGCCGGGCCCGCCGGGCGGGTCACCTTGTTCATCTGGACCTTCACTCATTAGCGTCATTGCCATTATCATCGCCAGAGTCGTCCAGGCTGGGGGCTGGGGCTGTACAACACATAGCGGAACGGCTCGGGCGCCGACTGGACTGGAAGGACACAATATGCCAATCCAGTTTGGAGCAGACTAGATTATATTGGTGCAGTGCATGGTCAAAACGGTTTCTTGCATTTCAAGACCCCGGTCTTGGATCTTGTGGAGAACGCCATGATGGCATCCAAGAACGAAGCGACAGCGCCGATGGACAAAGAAGCACAGCTTTTTACTAACGCGAGCTGTCTCATATTTTGATAGTTTCCAGAGTTCTGAATCAGCGAGCAGGGCACTGCCAAAAGCTCGCGATAGTACTCTTGAGTGGGATTGCGTGACCGATGTGCTCCTATAAACTGCCCATTTTTTTCCAAGCGCCTTAATGAGGAAGGCGGACAACTTGTTTTTGCGCTTCTTTGGCAAACAAAAAACGGCTTTTAGTGTGTGTGTGTGTGTGTGTGATACGTTCAGGGCGGTTTTTTTGGGCGGCTTCATATGCCACTTTCCGGCACCGGTCAGGCTGCTAAAAGAACATTATTAGCCGTACATACGATGCGGTCCCAATGTGACCCCCGCGTGGGAAACTCATTTAAGACGCGTGAGAGATATTAACGAAGCACGCATTTCCCGACAAAGGTCGCGCATATAAGATATTCACCCGGCAGACCACTGTTTGCCGCGAGGCCTACGGCCGCGGCGCAGCACACACATCCTGGTGCTGTAAAACCCGCGCCGTGCTCGGTGTGCCTGTGCCTGGCAGATAACGTGGTGCCCGCGCGCATGCACGTCGTGTGTGAACAGCAGGCGCTGCTCCAAACTTCATCACTTCACTTTCAGGGACCCGCCGCTCGCGGTCAGCGCAGAAGAATTTTCATCAAATTATAGGCGCACATATCTGACGCTGCAGCAGTGAAATAAGCAATGGACGTAGAACATACAACATACCTGAATTATTATTTTTGCATTTTTTAAAATTATTTCTTTCAGTCTAAATCTATAACAAAAGTCAACACCCCACACTGGACGGTGGTTGAAGCATTTCGATTATCCCATACCATATCATTCGAGAACATAGACCCTTTCGAAATTAGCGAAGTGAAGAACAAGGTGAAGAATAACAGGCAGGAAACAGTTGCTTTTACTGACCCAAACGTTTATGAAGACTTGCATAAAATGTAAACATTATCAAAATGATTGTATATATTGAACATTTATATGATGATCATTTTATTCAAGTGTTTTGGGTACGTTTGGGTGATTAAAAGCTACTGTTTCCGGTCTATTGTTTTTCGCCTTTTTCTTCACTTCGCTGATTCTGAAAGGGCCTATTTGAATTGTTTATCTAGGTTTTTCTCTGTCCAGCAATAATTTCCACGCGCCTGTCGTTGGCGGTGTCTGGGCTAGCCGCCGCTGAGCTGGGCCGGCCCCCATAGGGCGGCATAGGCCTACGCGAGATACAGAGCCCGTGGGCAGCCATGGGCAGCCAGGGGCCTCTGCGTGATCCAGTCCGGCAATCAGAGGGGCGGGGCAGGGGAGGAGGAGGGA